CGAAATTAATGGCTGTCATTTTGTAGGAAGGAATGTCTTCGTAACAGAAATGTAAATCTGTGAATAAATATGCAAGTTTTATGATCCTTATGGAGTTAGCAATTTTTTCATTTTTAGCCATTAAATTCGTACTGTAAGTAAGTCGCATGATTCCGTCCTTTATTGATTTTAATAACCAAAATTCATCCATGAATGTATAAATAATGATCCTGTTATCTCTCCCAGACTTCGTAATTCACTTAAAAAGATTGAAATATATTAACTTGATCTTTTGGGCTACTTTGTGGTTCCTAAAGTTAATTTAAAAGTCTAATTACCAGTTACTTCTCGAAGATGGCTGTCTTATGGGTTGTAACGCCGTGTATTCTGGTAGCAGTTTACGAACGTTCTACAGGGTCTTGCTGCATTTATCACCTCGATGATATACGTAGCAAGTATCTCTGAAACGTCGGTAGACTTCTACCGCACTACATGGAGTTACAGCCCAGAAGACAGTCAGCTTCGTAGTCTCCGCCTTGAGAACCTCAAATCCTTTAAACTGTTTAGTTATTTATTCTCTTCACCCAAGTTCTGTATTTATTTGATCATGTCGGTGATCTACTGAATTCTCTTCATTGACTACCTTAACATTTTCATTCATTTAGACTTTTTTCGTACCAAATATTGACCTGGCCTCAGCTTTCGGTTTGGGTATTTATATACACCCTACACTTCAACCTTCCGTGAAAGAAATACCTTATTTGAATCGCAAATTCCTTGATGGGTGGGTTTCTGGTGTACGGTTGGAAACAGAATGCTGTTTTTATTTCCTCTGGCGTTAAAATTAATTAGAACAGAGCGAACGTTAATATGTATGTTGAGTTCACATTCAGCTGTATTCAGTTCAACTTAGAACAATACAAGATTTTGCCTTTTGCTTTCTGAATGTTTTGTTCAGCGCGACTGATCCAAGTTCACTACTACAGCGTATACCTTGTACGTACTGTAAGACATGTATAGGCCGGTCTGCGTATTTTTCTACAAGTTTTGTCTAAATTAATAACAATGTAATTATATAGTGGCATATGTCACGTATTATTTAAAGGCATAACCGTATTAAGAGTCCACCAAATGTCACAGTGTATTATTTTATGTATTTGTTCCACATCTGGAAGTTCTCTAAATCTGTATATTCCGATTATTCGTGGTTTTCCTTAGACGTTCGGTAGGTTTTATACGCTTCATTTCGTATCTTTCCAAATTTATAATTTACGTATTTCCGTTCCACCTTATATAACGTATGCGGTTGGTAAAACGGTTTTAAATAAAATAAGAACAGACGATGCTTCATTTATGTGCCTAGTTTTGTCAATTTACTGTTACGCTCTGTTATTTTCAAATTTCGTCGTTATATGATTTTATAATAAGTACAGGCTTACATACGTAATGAACACCGTTTATTTATTTATTTTTTATTTTGTAACAAATGAAGTTCACCGATCTTGGTGGCCACGCGGCATACAATATACATGCTGCATATGAGACTTATTCTTCCAGTGTTTGTTACTTAGCTATGGGAGAGAATAATTACTCCAGTGCTAAATACAGTAAATATATCTCGAGGAATAATTAATGTCGCAGAGGATTGTGCTCTTGCTGCAATAATTGCACTGAAAGCGAAGCAACGCAATAGGCTTACACTCACATTGAATGTAAATCGATCCATAAAATTAGAGAATACCAGAGCAGTGAATACGCCAGGCGTCATTAGTGAAACGGATAGAAATGTAAAAACAACCACCCTCGCTGTACCAAAGAATGCTCCGTGATCCGAATGTCGAATATTACCAGTGAGTGTAACATCAGTAGTTAATAGGATACGTGAGGTCGTTAATTTACCACTTACATCTACAGTTCTTTTTATATCAAACGTATTTAAATAAAAATAAAAGATTTCTATTCGTTTTAAAAGTTGTACACATTAAATGTCGTTCCCATTGAAACTGTGGATTCTAAAAAGTTACGGTAACCGTTAAATCGCGTCTCTTAATTTAAAGATAAAGACAAAAGTTTTAACATAAATGAAAACTACGGAACTTGTAATTTTAATCTGTGAGCGAAAATGATTCTTAGAAGCTTTCCAAACCAAATAATGTCCCCACTATACTGATCCGCTTTCTGTGTTTTATTTGTTTTGATCGTGCATCCCTCACGTAAAAATACACATCATACCAGCTGAATGTCCACTAATATTTACTGTATATGACAAAACAAACACTAGTTTTTTAATAAATATTGTAGAATGAGTTTCATATAGGCTGTTACTGGATATGAGTAGTTGAATCAGTCATTTTCAAAACCATATGAGTCAACTCTTTGAGAGAATTGAAGTATATACTATTTGCTAGAACTAAGCTATTGTTTCCTAAGCAATCACAAAGGCAAATTGCATTGTCTCCCATCGGAACATCAGTCCAAGCCTTCACGGCACTTGGGCCGCCTTATATATGCTGGCATTTTTGTTAAGTTTTTTCGAAAGTAAGTTGTGTGTGTATGACCGATTCATTGCATAACCAGCCTCCGGATAGAAACTTGAACCCTAGACTTCCCGGGGAAAGCTATCACACCACCACGACGCCCGAACAGCCACCTTCTAAATAACGGTACAAATAAAATCAGTTACTACCAGTTTTATATATATTTCTCATTTCAAAGCTTCGTAGATATCTATTATTTTTTGAATTCGACAATTTTTTAAACTTCGATACGTGTATAAAAATTGTACTAAATTTCTCAGTCCTGGGCCTAACACTCTTAAAAGACAGGGGATGTTCTAAACGTGTAAATATTTACGTATTTCCCCAAGGACATGCAAATGGAGGCAGGAATATTGTTGGTGTTGTTTGGAATGGCTTCTTTGTACATCTACCAGAATATATTTTATTTACTTAATGCATGTGGTATGTCACTATAAGAGAATGCAAGGGAATAGAATTTGTACTGATACTTTTCCACGAATCTGAAATAAAACTTTTGTGTGGACAGGACACGGCGTTAAAGAATTCCCATCTGGTCCTCCGCCCTGCGTAACTGCGTGGTTTTAACGCACACAGCATGGCCCAGTTATCATAGCAGCCGAACCAGTGTCTTTATATCTTCTCTTCATGTTGGATATGTTTTCTCTTGTTCCAGAGATGTTTCTCCACGTTTCTTTCTTGATGTCTAACATCGGGTTTCCCTTCTTCCTCCATAACACAATTTTATTTCTGTGCTTCAGGTCGTTTTATCATCGTTATCCCATTTCTCTCTTATTCTTTCGTCAATCTCCGAGGATTCGTCGTTCAATTGTTACCTGTATTGTTACTGTAGTTGGCTCTATTACCGCTAGGGGTTCCCTGAGGCATTAGGGGCGTTGAAGCGACCGAATTCGTACAACTGGAAGGAAGAAAGTAGTTATCAGCCAGCAAAATTCGATCATAAACTTTTTTCTTTCAGGAATTTTATTTCTTTTTGTGTTTCGCGTTGTCTTTCCTTTTCAATGTCCATGTAATTTCGAGGAGAACATCTGTTGTCAGTCATGTTAGGCCTGTGAGCGTACTAACGATTTTAAAGTTTTAACTTTGAATTGCAGAAATTATTGCTTTTTTATAAATGTTATCCCAAGGATTTTGCTATGTTAGCAATGGCACAGAACAGATGTTTGGATTTGGTGTTGCAGTAAGAAATACGTCGTCTTAGAAACGAGAAGCATTTTTTACGTAATTCGCCGCTATTCAAGAGGTGTTTATTCCCTGAAACGTCGATAAATATCTACCATACTCTACGGCGCAGTATCCCGGAAGACAGCCATCTTCATAATCTCCTCCCTTAGAACTTAAAATCTTACCCGATTTGTCCAATAAACGTCCTCATGTGGATAACAGGACATTATTTTAAAATGGTAAAATGTATTGTAAGTGAATATTAAATCCGAAGAGAGAGAATAGACATATGTAAAGGTTTATATGGTAAGTTTACTGTGTTGTTTTGGTTTTAAAACGTCCGCTTGTCGTCTTGGTATAAACGAAGTGCCTTGTCATGGAGCAGTTGATCCGTACGCTGTAAGGGGTGAGTTGGTCGGCCATCTGCTAGTTACCCGTGTTAAATGTGTGTTAATGGTAATGAACTGGACGCATTTGCAAAGTAACATGACGGCCTGCTCTATTTTATGAAGAGCCCTCTTCTGTTTTATGGACACGAGATGCGTTTCCTTCCTGAGATATGGACTACACAATGTAAATTGATTACAAATTGAGAAATATCTGCACGCAATTCATGAAAGTAATGTGTTGCATAATGTTGTCCCGTTTACCCTAAACTAGGCTTTAGTGAGAAAGACTGTCGGCAATGTTTTGTTCCTTCTGTTATGAATATTTACCAAGCCCTTCTTGAGAATCTAATAGTCACTTAGCTGTCAAATTTCGAGCTCTTTATGGAGCCCGTAAGTTCATTTCCGTTTCACGAAAGTCCGTGACTGGGCCCTATTCTGGACCAATTCAGTCCAGTGTATACCGTTTTTAATATTATCCTCCCACAACACGTTACTTCTAAGTAGTCTCTTCCCGTCAGTTTTCAGGCGAAATTCTTTTTCCGAAGATGTACTTCCCGCAAACCATTGCGCGCTACATGCCCCGCCCATCACATGCTTCTCTATTTGATCAAACTGGTAGTATTTGATTAGGTTGGAAAGCCTGAATAAGACCACTTCGATGATCTCGGCGTAGATGGAAGGATAGTATTATAATCGACCTTAGGGAAATAGGTTTCAGTTGTGTGGATTAGAATAATGTGGTGGAGGATAGTAACCGTTGGTAGACTGTTGTTAACACCGTGATGAACCTTAGGGTTCCATAAGAGGCGGAAATGATTATACCAGCTCGTGGTGTGACTGTTGGCATTTCAAGAAGGGGTCTACTCCATAGAGTAACTTAATTAACTAAATCTAATAACAATATATTATTTTTACTGTTGTTTCTTTTCAGTCGGGCGAACGCGGGTACTTGGAGGGCCTTGCTTCGAGATACGCGGACTTGTTCAACACTCACTACGGAGATGTCTTGGAACACCTGGAGGATCTCCGACGTCGAGAATGGGATGAGTTATCTCCACGGATCAGAGTTCTCGTCGGCACTACTCCGGGTACTCCACCCTCAGAGGCGTATTCCCCCAACACCACGGGCCCTGCAGGGGGCATTGTCGGACAGCACACACCACAGGTGAGTGGACTCCAGGATCGTATTTAGAGAGGACTTTATTGCTGGTTTGCGCGTTCGTATTATCCACATGTCTCTGTGATGAGAGATCCATGTTAGGAAGGTATATAGGTGGGTGGAATTGAAGGCCGACGCGTTCTAAACCTCGTCACAGAATGTAAATATAAGGGTTAATTCGTTATGAGGTAGTTCGAATTCGAGACTTTATGAATATGATATATAGACGAAAAATCTATGCTTCGGTCTGATTTGAAACTCGGACTTTTAGCCCGGCTGTGGTCAGTACAGATGAATTCTGAATTATTATTATTATTCTCTGTCGAAAAATATCAGGTTGCTGTTGTGGATTTAGGAAATTTAAATTCCTGAAACTCTACCTTCACATCATGAACGGACCTTGTTCTTGACCCTAGGGTCATCACGGGCTTACCACTTCGCACTCGCAGCCTATATACGTCCCTGGTAAATATTCACCGTCCAGCTGTCTCAGTGACAAAGAGGAAGACGAAATCTACGGCTTTGGTTACGGCGTCTATGGCAAACAGATGCTTCAAAGACAACAGCAGCACAAGATGATAATTTCTCCGCAGGTCAACTACCAAAGGTAAGCAGAATTCATTGTGTTTTGTGTAATTGTTCAGTAGCCATTGCATAGCGCATAGAGCGGTTACGTGGTATCGAAGGCTACGTTAGGTTTCTATAAGGGATTTATTTTGATGGTGAATAAATACGTCGAAGAACACCTATTCCATGTTGCGAGTGTTTCAGTCGGATTTTTGTAAGTAAAGAATTGTGGGTCATTTGTTTTAGACGCTTTTGCAATTTAAATTTTCAAAAAAAATGTACGTTTAAACGTGACCATATCGTGTACTTTATTCATCTTCCTGCATGTTTAGCAATTTCGGTGTGATGTGAGCAATGGACTTCCGCTTTTCAGCCTTAACTTCAATGGAGAACGGCTCAAGGTCATAGCTTCTGTCTCACCGAACCAGCTGAACTGTTCAAAACGGATTTTAGTGACATTTTTATCGAGAATTTATACTCAAATTTGTCAATAAATGTCAATTTTGGTTAAAATCATACATCAATAACGGGCTCTTTACTTACGTTCTTGCGAGCGGGACTGACTGGGCGGGAGAAGCACCAGCTGGCTACTCAACTACGAGAGAAATCACCAGTGATATCAATCCACAGACGAACTGACGTCATACACTGCGCCATCGCAAAGGTCATTGGCCTCCGGGTAACTCTGAGATCAAGGGCGATATTGGAAAAGATCAAAGGTGATGTTCTAGGGAACACGCCAGAATTGTTACAATGTGCGTGCGGTTTTTTAGTGTTTGTTTTTAAAAACACATAGCAACGATTCTGAGAATATTACTGTCGATAAATTAAACGCTGGTATCTCACGTAAGGAACGCATTTATCGTAAAAATAGTACCAAGTTTCCCAGATACAGTTATTTAAAATTCTCAAGGTCATATTGTTCACGCTTATTTCTGATAAACCGTAAATACCTGTTTGACCGTACTCATGTCAACATTATGCCACGTATAGGTCAAGGTCATATCGAAGTCAAGTGAACATCGGCCCAGTAGTTTGTCAGATACAGGTATTTAAAATTCTCAAGGTCATATCTTTTCACGCTTATTTCTGCCAAACGGTAAATACCTGGTTGACCATACTCATGTCAAAATGAGACCACGTATAGGTCAAGTTCATATGGAAGTCCCAACAAGATCGGCCCAATAGTTTGACAGATACAGGTCTTTAAAATTCTCAAGGTCACTGTTATCTGGTTCAGAATTTTTTCCTCGCCGTCTGATATCTAAACACGTAACAAAAATACAAAACTATAATTTTACCATTTTGTTCAGGTATGAAAGTTGATCTCTCACGTTGAGAAAATAGCATCGATTTAGAATATTTTATAATAGGGCTAGTAGGAGAATACGTATATGGATCAAAGAAGGATAAATATCAGGAGGCTGGAGAAAATTTCATGTTGACCAAATCAATAATTCATGCTCAGGCTACTATTAGCATCTCAAGAAGGACTCTGGTCAGTGGAATTTTCCTCTGAGAAGTTATAATAGGAAATGTTATAGAAAAGTGAAGGCGCAGTTCTTCGTGATTTATGTTGGTAGTAGTGCTGAAATATATGTTTACAAAGTAACTGAGTCAAGTTAAGGTAATATCAAACTATAACTGTTGGAGGTCCGACATGGATAAACTTTCTGTTAGCATTAAAATGGTGAGCAGTGGGTTCATATTTAGACACTAGGTAACCATTCATATCCTTGCCCTTTGCGAAGTACGGGTTATTTGGATTCGGTCCTAATTCGGCTGCAGATCCAGTTCATCAGTGAAACCATCAAACCAATTTCGCTTATAACCCTCATTTCATCATTATTGTACTTATCATCACAGATGACCCGGAACAATTTATCCGGATTGCTTCTTTATGCTTGTTCCGTGTACCGCAAAGCTGTTTCGCTTGTACGTGGAAGACATTCCAAATCTGACATGGTCCAGGGTGTTCCGAGCGTGATCAACGATTACTGTTCTGTTGTGCCTTGGTTTACGACTCTGTGACTACTGTCGAAGTTACTAGAAGGTTATAGAATAAAAATGACTTACCGTCAATCAAGAAGACTTCTATATCGCGATTCTGACACGACGACGTATGCGTGATGGTTTATTGCGCAGAAGGAAAGCTGAATGTTGCGATGTTGTGATATCTTCCACTTGAAGCTGATGCTATTATGCGTATAGTTGTCACTGGTCAGATATCACATGCGTCAGAATTGCATGTTTACGATTTGGCTACACTGCGTACACGTGTTCTATTGCAAAACCCGCGACACTCTTTGGTATAGTTTGGTTTGGTTTCCTCCACTTGACAGTCATTGGTGCTGAGCCTTTCCGTTTGATTCAAGCAGTATATAACAGGAATTTTGAAGGCGTAGGACGAAACGTTCTTCAGCTACCAACGATTCTAAAGCGAAAGACGAATTTTACAATGTCAGACCCTGCAGTAACATTACATTCTGACTATAAGATTTTCAGTGATCACTCTGTATCTTAAAACCTGTGTATTTTTACGACGTGCTGGTTCAGTTGATCTAATTTGCTGGTTGATCGTTAGCACGATACTTCGCGAACAGGAAAAATACTGAACACAAGTTTTTCGGGCTTTGATAAAATTTCATTAGTGTCTCTCTGGTTTTCTAAATTGAGTTTTTTTAGGCGTGGTTGGTCAATCAACTATTATGGGTTTTCTTAACATGTTCAAGTCTCTTAAAGAAGAGAAGCAAATACACTTTTCGTAATTTCCTTCAAGACAAGGGACTTGGGTTGAATATTACGGTGAAAGGAACCTAAGTCAGGGCTTAGTGGAATTAGATTAAGCACCAAAATTTCGTTTTGTCTTTGATGCACACTCCAATAAGATGGAACGTTCTTCTAGTAGCACGGTATATTAAATATCCAGCTTATTTTCAGGGCTAAATTCCATTTATTTGAAAAATAAAATTTTTAATTCCAGATTTATAGTCTAAAAATTGCACACACCCATTTTTAGCTGCAATTTTGTACCAGTTTCCGCCATGTAATAGGTTACAATTATTTCGCGCGCACGCCATGTTGGTTTGTATCTAGGAAAACAGTTGTCTTGTCAGAACCTGTGTACTTTATGGAGTTCTGTTAACCTACAAACCTTTTAGACTGAATGATGCTCTTTTATCAATGCCGAATGTGGTTTTAACAATCATACTATACTTCAATTTACGGATGCAAGTAATGTGACTCCGAGGTTATAATTTCGTCGAAATCTTTTAAGCGAAATTTTCATGACATTCATTTGTTTTATAACGTCGATTTTTTAAAACAAGTTAATAGACAACGCCAAAGATTTCGTGGGCTACAATAGTTCATATTTAGGCAAGTAATTTTCAGAGGCAATTGAAGTCGTACTGTTCGTGGTCCCAGAAATATCGCCTCTCGAAATGAACGGCTCTGGTCAGATTATATTGTCACAATTATTGGTTCGATGGACCGTACAAAGTGGTCAAGCCTTAGTATATCGTGGTTTTCCATGTTGGGCTGGAAACGGAGTTGCCAGGCGCATTAACGTGTCAAACTGCTGATTACGTAATTGATGATTTGATATAACGCACAGAGCTTGTTACTATTTGCTGTACTAATACGGAGGGATGGTGACGATGATAATGATGATAATAACCGTGCTGCATCCGTAGATTAGTGTAGTTGTGCAGTGTTTGTATTGCTTCTTGCATAACTTGTGGGCGAGGGGATTACATATTGGTGTGGGTCTAGAATTTAGCGCGCTGTATAATCTAATGTACGCTTCTATTATGCCACGAATAAGTAACGCCCAGTTTATGTTGTCTTGCGTTATTTTGCGACGTCTACTCAACTACTGAGGTTTCAGGTTCTTATGACGGCGAGTATGAAGATAGTCTTCTGGGATACTGCACCGTGTAGTATTCTAGAAGTTGACAGACGTTTCGGAGGTGCGTAGTGCCTTCATCATCAGGGTGAAGAGTTTACGAGGCAATTTTTGTTTGTTTATTTAACGACGTTTCCTCAACATAAGCCATGTGGTGTTTAATGGGCGGACGTTTATGAATGATGAATTTGAATACACTGGTCGTGGCCTATTTTAAATTGAACATCTAAGTAAATAATCGAACTATGGGCATACGAAATACGAAATAGTAGGGTTTACCATTTAACGACTACGTTATTTGTGTTCTTACTTTGCGGAAGAAATTACGTTTAGGAACTTCAAAAGAAACTAATTGTCTGTGTTATTAATTGCGTAATTTTTAAGATGTAGAGGCCTATAATTATCGGTAAAACGTAAGATGTAAACGGGATTCATGGAAATGGAAGACAAAAATGAAATTGGTTCCATAGAACAGACTCACAATATCATTATTTTAAGTCTAATAAAATGTTGACAGTTTTTTTTATTCTGTTTCAGCTGTCTTAGTCCAAGGTCCGCTTACTTCTATGAATTTCCGCCTAATGGTAAGTACATGAATGTTAATTCCTTACTTCTGGTTAGCCTGAAATTTTTACATATTTTTATTTTGAATGTTGAACAGAAATATTCCCATCCAGTATGTGCCTTCTGCTTGCACGTACAAATAACTTTGAATGGGAATCGCCGAGTTTAAAATTAAATATTGCTATCCGGTGTTAGAAACTTTTCATGTTGTTTCATAGGGCACTAAAAAACTTCTGCCAGGTCAAAGAGAACAGGAACTCTAAAACGATTTAATAACTTGTTCCTCCAGGTTTACCCCATCTCATTTCGCCTTGAACGTAGAGAAAATTTTATGTTTTCTGCTGACCGTACACGGTTTGAACTTTTGAGTTTTGCGTCTGGAAAGTTTTATATACTGAAAATCTATGTAACCGGAAATTTAACACGGTGATACATCTCTAAGTAATGTAATTTCTCTGTAATATCCGCGGCCATCTGTGAATAGCAGGAAGTGTTTACTGAAAAGGAGACATTGTATGTTGTTCCCAGAACTTCTCTTAGAAAACAAGTGGAATTTGAACGTGATGTGAAGTGAAGCAGCTGTGAGTGGTAAATTCACCTCACGGACCGAGTTAAGTCTTTAATTTCCTCTTTTCTGTGTATACGAACTTCAGTCACAGAGAAACTGTTCATTTTTCTTCTACTTACCTCAGATATTGTACCAGAGTTGCTTGTCCGTATTATTAGTGACTCAAAGACCCAATGACAGAAACACTAAACAGCTGATTGATTTTCCGGTTGGCTGGTTGGCTGATTGATTAAACGACGCTGAATAATTTACCGACAGATTGATAGATGTTTGAGGGACGCACATGCTTTACAGCTTAAAATAAATGTTAATAATTATGCCCGTGCGTAAGACGTAAGACGCCTGTTCGAAACACTTCGAAAGACCGATAAAAATTACGAATTGAAATAAATGACTGAACAATGAAAAATGAAGATTTGTAGACAGTAAGTAAGTAAATGAATGAAAATAAAAATGTTGAAGGAAACGGCTTCACTTTTTTCTGGGAGAAATATATGAAACCATATTTTCTTTAAATGTTTATGTCTATGTATGGCAGCGGAAATTAATTACACAGCTGACTGAGAAAATTTTAGGATCTGACCTGGAGAAAAGAGTCTGGGGTTCGGTTCTGAGATGATATGGTAGTCCGATTTGTACGTGGTCTAATGTAGTCTGGGTTTCAATGGTACAAATGCCTTTTGTTTCGTTACTTTGAAAGTTAATATCAATAAAACTTCCATAGTGAGACAGAAGTTTTCCCGCAGCATTATACTGTATTTTTATATGATTGTAACTTAATTGTACGTTAATTTGGTTTAATTTTACTTTTATGGCCCTGACGTAAAATTTTGGCTCTAGATCACGTGCACAACTGGCCGCAGGCAAATAATGCAAACGCAGAAACGACATTTTCTTAAATTCCTTCTCGCTGTTTCTCCCTTTTCAGTACAAACTCTGGTACAATTACGGTTTTATAAATTTTAAAGACATGGTTTGCGACACGTGCGACTGTGTACAGTTGCTGAACTATAAAACTGGGCACA